ACTATGCTTTAATTATGTTCAATTTGTAACAATGAAAATACATCCTGCATATCAGATATTTATATTACGATTCAAAACAGTAGCAAAATTACAGTTACGAAGTAGCAACGAAAATAATTTTATGGTTGGGGGTCACCACAACATGAGGAACTGTATTAAAGGGTCGCGGCACTAGGAAGGTTGAGAACCACTGGTCTAAAGGTTAGGGTGGAGGACTCTGGGATGAAGTGTCACTAGTCCAAGGCTTTGGCAGATGAAATGGGTGAGAAAGCTTGAATCTAAAAAAATATTATGTAGAGAGAAGTACATAATAAATTGGACAGAGAAGTAAACATGACAAAGCAAAGATGGAAGGAAAGAGAAGACCATCGGGGATAGGAAGTACAGGCAAGATAGTGGGGAGTTTCATGTAACGATGGACGCTATACTGGGAAGGACATCATTGGAACAGGAGGGGCAGGTTGCATTCAGCTGATGGGATGACACGCAGGTGGAGACGACAGAGGTCTGATCCATGGAGAGAACAGGCTGGCTTCCGAGTTTTATTTGGAAGCCACTCTTAGCAACAGGCATGGGAACTTTGAGCCTCGCCGGCTTCCACCTCCATGTGTATGAACCAGGAGCCGTGGTGCGATGGTCACGGATCCCCGCCTTCCCTTTCAGAACAAATTGAAGAAACCGATGTCTACCAAGACCTGTGCTGGGAGCATCTGAGCGACGACTATGTGTGCAGCCGGCCCCTCGTTGGCAAGCAGACGACTTACACGGAGTGCTGCTGCCTGTACGGCGAGGCCTGGGGTATGCAGTGTGCCCTCTGCCCCATGAAGGACTCAGGTGAGCCCTTATCTCGGTGTCCTTTCTGCCGGGGGAGGCGGCTGCTGCTGGTGCTCAGCTCAGGCTCGCAAGGTTCGAGACATCTAACTTCATCCGACTTGATTTTATTAAAAGCAATGAGAGTGCCGTTACTACTTTTTTGGAAAGAGGGAGCAAAGAACGTGTGTTTTAAAACTGCTTTGCTCATAATTTCTGTCACTGAGCCGTTTAACTATGCTGCTCCCGCATATCCTGATCGTTGAGAAAGGGGTACATGGTCTGTGTGTTACTGTGAGCTCTGGCTGAATCCCAGCCTGGCAGGCACCGGACCTTCCACTTTCCTTAGGAGCCCAGTGCTGCTTTGGGGAATGATCGTTACTAATGGAGACGGTGCTGGGAGGGTGGAGGGGTGGAGGGGTAAATTGCAGCCCTTGTCATCGGCTTTGAGCATCAAGTGCAGCGTACAGTGACACTTTGGCTCTGGAGCAGGCTTGCACACTTCTGGTCCAATAGGTCACGGGCTCTAATTCTTGCTAAGGCAGCAGCTACATCTGAGAATGCTGGGAGTTGGAGTCGGTGGAGTGGCTCCCGAAATAGTGTCCTCTGAAAGTCGGTGGCCTCTTGCGGATTGGGACCACCTGCAGGGGAAGTGAGTTTAGGGCGATGGATTGTGTCAGGGTGGCTTGACGTGAGAATTTCATGTATCAGGCGGTACATTTCTGGGCTGCTTAGGATTTTATTTCAGTCCTCAGCGAACGTCTTGGAGGCCAGACCTGGCATTAGGAGAAGGTTCCAGACCACTGAGGGTGGGTGGCATTGCAGGTGCAGCAGTGGACAGTTTGTGGTCGTGAACTGACGGCAGGGCATCTGTGATGTCTGGGGGGAGGGACTGAACTGCTGTGGGAGGGCCCTCACATTTGAGCCCTTTATCATGATCTCACACCCCCGGCCTCTGGGAGGAAAAGCTGTTTGGGGGAAAAATAAGTCAGGAAGAACAAACCCTGGTATCCATATCAAACCCGAGAGGGCCTGGTTATTGCTTGGTCTTTCTGGGAATTTTCAGTGACGTGCTAGAAGAAAATCATAAGAATGTCAGAGCTTTGAAATCTTTGGTGGAGTTTATACGTTTTTCTGTCGGTTGGTTTTTTTGGGTCTCCACCTTAGTAAAAAATGATGACAGCTGGCATGTATGAGGCACAGTGCCAGGTGCTGTTCAAGATGCTTTCCAGGTACTAAGATGTTTAATTTTCCAAGCGATCCTCTGAGGCAGGGGCATAAGTGCCTCCCTTCTCCAGAAGAGGAACTGAGGTACATGGTCCATACCAGCCAGTGGCAGATTCCAGTCCAGGCGGCCTGGCCCAACATCCACGCATCTTCTCCACTTCGGTGCTACTCCAGTCTTTTACCCGAAGTCTCAAAGCACATCATAGATAAATGGTATCCCTTGGAATATAGAAGTAGCCGAGTGAAAAATTAAAGCTGAGATTTAATTGCTCTCTCGTGCATTGTATGCTTAGAGAAGAGAAAAACTACATCTCTAGAGCTAGGCAAAATTAGAAGTGGTGCCTCATCAACTCTGCATCAGAGTTTAGCACACTAGTGGGCTTAATAGATAATATATATTTGATGAATTAATAGATTAAAGCAAGTCAATAATTACTTTTTTTAATCCTCATCCAAAGAAGGATTTTTATTGATTTTTAAAAAGAGAGGAAGGGAGAGAGAGATTGAGAGAAACATCAATGTGAGAGAAACATTGATCAGTTGCTCCTCATACACGCCCCAACCGGGGATTGAACTGGCCACTTGGGTATGTGCTCTGACTAGGAATTGAACCTGCAACCTTTTGGTATATGGGGCAACGCTCCAACCAAGCCACCCAGCCAGGGCAAGTCAATAATTATCTAAAATGAGTTTTTAAAGTTTTTATTGATACTCTTGAAAGTATAAAATGAAAATTTTCTGCAAGATATGTAGGGTGCCATTATCTCATGGAAATAAAGCCCTATTGGCTGGCCTATAAATGAAAGAAAATTTGACACATTTAAACACTGGAATCTAAAGTACCCAGAGATCCCAGTGTCTGTGGTTCTTGTTAAAATAATTACACTTATTTTAAGTAAATTATTAAAATAATTAGATTTAGTGTAAGTAAATGGAACATAATCACCTGAGAAAGTCTTGATCGAAAACTTTGAAGTTAAATTTTCTCTATGGGACACTTAGGAAGCTGGCAGAGTGCCACCTATGGTGGTTTAATGTACTGCATCACAGGTGTTTTAACCTTAAGTATTCTTGATGGAAGTCAGGCATAGAAAGGTGAGAATGGTTTAAAAAAAAAAATCTCCAAGGAAACTGAAGTGCCATAGAAGAAATTGCACATGTTTGAAGACTTGTAAAACACCAGAGTTGATCAGGATGCAGATGCGTGGGTCCTTTCTTTTGCCAAGAGAGCAGTTTGAAGACCTACTAGTAAAGATACATTTGACTAAAAAAACCCTCTAGTTCTGGGAATACAGATTGGTCTTGTACTTGAATGCTAGGAATAAAAATATAACCATTACAGCATAAGAAAAATTTGAAATTATATAGGGAATTGGTTGATAATTTTTGGTATATCCATATAGTGGAAATACAGCCATTTTTTTTTAAAGGAGACAAATCTATAGACTGTAATACAGAATTATGTCTAATTCTAGTTTTTAAACAAGGCAAAGAACAACATGTTTATTAAACCATTATATGCAAGGTGCAGTTAAGAGTAAGAACCATGACTGAAATGCAATCTAAATGATCATTTATCTGTTTTCAGTTTTAAATCATTTACATATTTCTTCCTTCATTTCATTATTTACTGGTATGTACTAGGCAACACATTTTGAAACAAATGTACTGTTTGTACTTACATGAAATTTACAATTTAACTCCGTGAAATAACATGCCATACAATCATGTTGTATTTCTGAATTAGCATAGCTTATTCCTATTGTCACATTTAAATATGGAAGCGATGCCTTTATTTATGTATTGTTAGCTATGACAAAAAGATTTTTGGACACTTCCTAACAGCTAATCTACCCCCAGTTTTTTCATGAGTTCCCGTAAAAGTGACAGAACTTGGAGTCTGAGAGACTGAGCTCGTGATTCCTTCCACGTGCACGCATGGCCGCATGGCGCTTCCATGTTCCCAAAGATCTCAGCATCCGAGGCTTCATAATCCCCTCGGAGGTGTGAAGGAAGACAGGGATTTGACTCATGGACTAAACTTGAAAAAATATTGTAACTGGGCAGGGGCTGCAACAGGCCTTTCAGCAGTCATGGTTTAGAGGCTTTTCCAAGAAATACGTTTCCAAAAAATGTTAATAACAACTTTGGAACAGCGTGCACGCGAGGCACAGTGCGTGGTGGCCGCCTTGGGTCTGAGAGGCAGTCCAGGGCTCTCGTCTGCCTTGGCTCTGCTTCTGTCGATTGCACTGGACAAGTCACTTTGGTTTTCCGCAGCCAGAGCTAGGAACTCTTTTGTGAGGTTATGGCAGTTAATACTCTCTGAGCATGAAAGCATTTGTCATTTGGATCCTAGATCCTGAATAATATGATTAAAGAAAGTGTAGCTATAAACTGTAGTGGAGAATTAAAAAGAGCAAACTGGACAGATATAAAAGGCCGCCCGCGTTGAGTGGCTACCCTGCCTGCACACAGAATGTGTGCTCTGTATACAGACTCGGCAGGGGTCCTCAAACTTTTTAAACAGGGGGCCAGTTCACTGTCCCTCAGACCGTTGGAGGGCTGGACTATAGTTTAAAAAAAACAACTATGAACAAATTCCTATGCACACTGCACATATCTTATTTTGAAGTAAAAAAAAAAAAAACGGGAACAAATACAATATTTGTATTTGCATGTGGCCCGCGGGCCGTAGTTTGAGGACCCCTGACACAGAGCCTATCTCAGTGGTAAGTGGTCCAGTTCCTCAGGGACTGAATTCTTGGTCCGTAGAACTCGATCGAATTGGATACCACACAGGATGGCACCTAAGCAATTTATGTAATTTCTTATTGAAAAGATGTTTGTTTATTTATTTATAAAGCTTCTCCTTACTCCCCCCTCCAAAAGGGGTGAAATGCTTTTCTTACTTTAAAAGGGTTATTGAAAATTAAAACTCCTAATGAATTTTGCACGTAGAGTTTTGTCATTTTAGGTCAGCATTACATTTTGTTCCTTCATTTGTAAAATGGCCAGAGAGAGGAGGGCAGGGACGAGGGGAGGGACTCGGCATTGGACAGGGCTGTGCGGCAGGGCAGGAGCTCTTGACCAAAGTGGGAAGGAGATACCGATTTGTGAAAGCCAAT